TAACTGTTGGATGTTGTTGGATTTAGCAGGGAGACAGCACAATTAGGGTACATGTGTAGGTGGTTAGGGTTAAACTTTCGTTCAATTTGACAGACCACATCAAGTCTGCTTGGGTAAGCAAGTACAACGTAAATGGCCAGAAATGTTAGAGTTCCATAATTTTAGCCTCTGTGTACGGGCAGATGTACAGTACAGGTATGGTATGGTACGTTACGTACATGGGTATTTGCACCTCTGAGTTACATGAGCAATCCTGAGGCTTTGTACAAATTTATGTATGTATTCGTACATGTAAGTTCAGCATATGAGTGAAGGGATGTACTGTACATGTACATCCATTACCTCACATTACCTCATAAGTCGAGTTCGGGCAGCCTGTTCTTGATACAGGTTTCTTATTCTTACGCTCGAATGGCGGGAACACGACTCAAGAACACTGTTCTTGCAACCGGATCACACACCACCTCTTCGTCAGGGTATTACCGGAACACACAGAAAAACTCATGAGGTTTTGATTTTTGAACAGCAGCAAAAAGTAGAGAGATGGCTTAGTTTTGTTAAGTTAACATCAACCATATTCCATAACACAGAAAAGAATGTTCCTGTTTAAATAGAAAAGAATTCAGCCTAGTTATCCAAACATTAACTCTAGAATAACGTACATATAATGCCATGTTGCATGTTGCTTGTCACTAACTCTCTGCGACAACTGGTTGTACTGTATGTTCCCGGCGTTCGAGTGGCCGACCCAAGACCAAACAATCAAGCTGTTCGTGAACATACGAGAACAAGCCGCCCGAACTCAACCTTACATTACAGGAAATCCTATTATTCTCCCATTTCTATTGTACTGGTATGCCAGCAACCCATTCAGTGAAGACAGGAAGATGCCTTTAATTTCCAGAGTCTGAGAAAATCACACAGATAACCAAACTGAGAATTATGGGGGACGGAGTCCCTTGGTAATCAAATTATGGATGGAGAGCCAAACACACTCTACTTGTAACTGCACAAATGTGAATGCATTGTACAATACCTGAAAGGCCAGAAATACGGTAAGATAAGAAGCAGGTGAATACCATATGCTGCATATACACTGTACACAGTTACACACTGCGTAATTGGGTTAAAATGTACATGTACATAAATACATGTACACGACTACACATTGTGAAGGTTTGCTTTTGGACAAAATACCTGGTATTTCAAGCTTGAATAGTTTTCCCCACAGCTTGAATCAAATTACATGTACATGTGAGAGGACCAGATTTTGATCAACCATTTTGGACATCCCAGGAAAAAACTTCCCTGGAAAAATCAGGAAATTTCAGGGTAAAGCTTGGAAAGGTTTTTGAATTTTTTCATCAAAATATTTAACACAATGGGAATTTTTTAACAGACATATAGACACTTTTTGCCTAACTCAGAGAACTCCCAAAATGTGGGTGTGGTGCCACACACTGATGGAGGGAAGACAAATCCTACTTTGCCCCTCATAAACCAACAATGCCATGTTTAAAACATAAATATTATTCACACTGAAAGTCTCCCAAACCCCTACAAATAATAACAATAACAAGAATATATTGAAACAGTCAGGTTACTGAAATATATAAAACATGGTTTCAAAGCATTTAGGAATTTTTTTTTTACCAAACATGTCTACGCAAAATGACAAATATTTAATTTGAATTGCACAATGTACGTGTTTATGGGTGAAAAAGGCCTCGCAGCAACTGATACAGTGTATAAACTATGCTGACTCCATAATAATTTCCGTATGAAAACATCGCCTCTCCAATTTGGACGACCAAATTGTGCGGCCGGGAGATGTCGGTTGCTGTACTGGTGAATCTGATGGGTGATCTATGGGAGGAAAGACCATCTCTTATTGACCAAGCCATTGTAGACTAATGATCTACATGCACCAGTAGGGTAGGCGTACTGAGCATATGTGTGAGTGCATGGGCCATGCATTAAAGGGAGATATTTGACTTACATGTACATGAAATAACTGTGAACTTCTTTATTAAATTCAGAAGAAAAATTGTGCTTTTACATGTAAATACATTTTCTAGGCCTACATGTACAGTGTATGTGCAGCTATTAAGCAAATTAATGCACACATAGATGTACATGTACCTGTAGGCCGCCTAGGAATTGCTATCCTAACCTTATGGTTTGTTTGATGATTTGTCTCTCTGCAGTGTTTGTAGCGGTACATGTACTGGTATACTCCCTGTGAGGTCAAGCTGAGGTTAAGCTGATATTGATAATGCAATTTCTGCAGGTCATGGCTATGTCTTCTTGTCTCTCCTATGGCTAACGCTACAGCGGGCATTGCTGCTTGCCAATGGCTTCTACAATTCTACTTTTTTTCAGCTGAAGTCAGAGCATCTAGACATAGCCCATGTACAGCTGCAAATGAGGGGCCAAGGCTATTTCACTCTGTCTCTCTCACCAAACTATTTAGGAACATCACTCCTACAATGGTGTGCCTCTTTAATCTGAGAGACTAAACTCCTCCAGGGTGAATGATGGGCCTCCACAGAGTGAGGCATCATGGATGTACATGAACAAGAGACATGCCACAGGTCATGTTTGCTGTGAAATGCCAGTCTTGATAAATTTATAACTCAATTACGGGTGGTATTTTGAAATCGCAGTTGAGAATTTGATGAGAGGCATATAACTGGGAATGTGTCCAAGCTGAATGACATGCTGAGTACACCACCCTGAACTTAACATTTTCCAAAAACTTAACAGAAAAAGTAATAAAGCAATGTATCCCATGCTAAATTTACATCAGTTAGCAATTAATTTGTTGATCAAACATAGCTACCACTATTTCCTACAAATCATGAGTAAACTTAGAAGGCTCTTTATGTAAAATCACTCAGCTAAAATAAATGGATCAATTTGAACATGATGTACAGTTTTGTTTTAACCCTAACCGCCAAGCATATTGTTTGGCTTACACTACTCAGTACTACAAAATACTAAGTAATAGTCTGAGCCTGAAGGACCTAGCGCCACAGATTACTACTTCTGGCTAGCCATGCATTCACAGTGCCACAGCACAGTATGGTACATTGTCTTAGCGGTATCTATCTTACGGCTTCAGAGAACAACAAGGTCATATCCTCTTACAGGCAACTGTGCTTATTACTACATTTTACTACAATTGGTAATTTGTAGCATTATGTAAGGTTAGGGTTAATCAATTCTACCCTATTTTGAGAAGTCTGGACAACTGCAGGATACTGTGTACATGTCTGTGAACATGTCAACACATTGTACAATATGACAACAGATAAATAAAAGACAAGTTGCAGCAGCTGACTACATGTACATGTACATGCACTACCAATCATGCAAGCACAGCCAAAACACGTGTTTACTTCTAACTTATATGTAATTTATCACAGGATGTATGTGCATGTATGTACATGTACATGTAATTGCCAGTTCAGGGATCATGACAATATTCAGTGTTGTTTGACTGGTACCTCATACCAACATGTACAACGTAGACATTGCTTGTGCTGTTAAGAGTAAATGATGACAATGCCAGGTTCAGGGGTGATATTGACCAATGATAAAATCTCCTATACTTTTGTACACAGCCAGTGAGGACAAAAAGCTAAAATCCAAGAAGACATGGAAACGGACTGTATCACTCATGAATAACGCAGACCCTGTGCATTCCAGCATCAATTTTGTCTACATGAAGTGCCTGTCCAGCTTACCGGTATGTGCACAATGCAACTGTATACACAGACATGACAGAGGATGTTTCACACAAACAATAGCTACGGGTACAGCCAGCCTCATAATGCATTGCTGATGTGACTTAATTATGGTTCTGTATCCAGGCGACGTGTTTCTCTCAGGGCTTAGTGAAAGGACCCAAATTAATACATGTATAGGGAAATTTCCCAATGGCGTTAACGGGGGGCCTTACAGGTCACCATGGATTAATGTGTCATGTGACTACATGTGTCACAGTAGGGTAGGACCAGGGGAATCGTGTCTGGGTAGGTTCAGTTTCAACTGGACACTTTTTTACTGAGTGGGTGCGAAGGTTTGGGTGGGTAGGAGAGGGACCAAAATTAATTTTTTATAAATGTTGAAAACAGTTTGACTGAAGAGCAAGAAATCCACAAGGATTTGTAGCTCGCTCCAAAAACTAACATGTTGATGAAACAGGTTGGAAGGATAGGATGGAATGGGGGAGGGGGTGATTATAATTCCCTTTGTCAGAATAAAGCTGTGTTCCCATTGGACTTTTTCTTCCGTGGGCATGCGGTAACTTACCGCGACATTCCTTTGTGTCAATCTACCACACATGCCCACGTGGACTTTTCTTTAACTGCAACGGAATGTTTATTCACTGTGTTAGGCCTAATAAGACCAGCTGATTACATTGCCTGCACTGTACAAATCATCATGAAATCGGCCAAATCTGCCATAAAGAAGACGAACCCATACAGAAAAAGCTCTGTACACAATGTGTGTATAGCTTTATCTGGGCACGCTTCATTGTGTGTATGTGGCGTGCTGCTGTTCTGTACACAAGGAGCTGGAGAGTGGGAACCATACAACCATTTTTGTGTGCCTGCTGTCGATCTCTGTGTAGGCAGTAGTCTGGTTCGTATGTTTAGCGTGGTCACGGTCAATCTACATTGTATGGGAACTGTTCCCATTGGACTTTTTGTGCCCCTGCTAACTTACCGTGGCTGCGCGGAAATCTCCCACGACCCTTTTCGGCCTGTTAGTTTTAGATTGCAAGTGCAGTAAGTTGACAGGGATGTTAGTTTACCATGTATTCCCATTGGAAAGTCACGGTTAACCCCAAAAAGTCAGATGAGAACACAGCTAAAGAGCTGTATCTGCATCCATGGTGTTTAAGGATAGGCTTTGGTGTAGAGCAGGGCCTTGGACATGTTGGAAGGTGTAGTCAGGGGAAGGGAAAGGGGAGGTGGGGAGTAAAATCTTACCTCATTGTGCCTCTTTTGTAAGATCATGTATTCTTGCTTCATCTCTGATTCCCGGTACTCATGCCGGGCCACTGCAAAAACATGAAGAGTTGGTATTTAATTGCAAGTGTACCAACACAAATGAGGTTCTCTTGGATGTCAAATCTACATCCGATCAGCTATCTCAGCAATGTGACTTTGCACACTAGTGCTGACAACTCACACTTCATGTTACTTATCCTACTGACATTGTCCAGCTGTTATGTCTGTAATGCAGAGAGCTTCCAAAAGCTTTGTTTAGAGTTAGATACACTGTCAACACTGGAGCAGACTTGGAACAGGTTCGTAACTTGTTCCAAATGCATTTGGCTGGAATCCTCCCTGAACCTGACAAAATTGAACACTGTGCAAGTAAATCTATGGCACATATTCTTTGTTATTAAAGATAAGACCACAATATCCGGTCTGCATTTTCAGTAACAGTGGCACAGCCTCCCACTGAAGTGGCCTTTGATATCTTTAGGGCAGTGGAGGTTAGTCAGGGTTCATCTGACACAGTCCAGGGGGGTGAGTAGCCACTTGAAAGTAAAGCTGAAAACAGCTAGCTAAAAGTTGAAATGTAAAAAGTACCCATACTTTTGTACAGATCCGGTGTAAAGCTGAAATTCAGGGTCAACATCTAATAAAAACACATTGAAATTAGCCCAAAAGCTGAATTTTCACACCCTGACAGTCAGTTCAGGGACTACATGTAGAGTTTCTCATGGAGGATAAATCCCTAGAAAAGTTGAGGCTCCCAGACCAATCACCTGTCAATCTCTGATGTTCTTACCTTGGTCACTGTAGTTCTTGACCTTGAGGGTGGCCTGTTTCTGGGCCAGTTCCAGGGCCTCCACACGTGCCTGCAGGGCCCTCTTCTCCTGATCATTGGCATCCTCGTACTCCAAAAATTTCTGTCACAGAGAAAAAAGTAAATCTCTTAAAAGACACATCCAAAAAAATCTGTGTAGCCTTTTTTCCATCTGGAGGATGGAAATCCTTGCAAAAACACACGGTCACCTGCAATAATGTTTGGTACAAGCACACGTCCATGTACCAGCAGTCTTTGACCATTGTTACTGCAGCTTTTAAATACATTTTTTCACCTGAATATAGAAAGCTAATTCAAATGGCTACATAATATTTATGCAACAAATACCCATCTCAAGATTAGGTAAAAAAAGGGGGTAAGATTATAGCTCCTCCTGAAATTACCAGTAAAAAGGTATCAGACATTACCATGGCAACTCCAACAACCCCTCTTGAAGTGTCACCATCTACATTTACTTTTTAAAGGGGATGGGCCATGTAGGATGAAACTGATGTTATATGATAGTTTTCAACCGTCTTGTAAACAGTAAGTTGGATTAACCCCTCTTTTATGCCATTAAATCAGCGAAACTTGGCAGTTTCTGTGTGCTGTTTTCAGTCTCCGCCTGGGCTCTTCGCAAAAACTCATCGAAATCCGTAAATGGGGGCAGCAGACAAATCTTGGCAAAAATGTGACGTCATTGGCTGGACTGGACTTTCCAGACAATAATGCTGAATAGTTTCGGCAAGAAAGTTGATCGGACCGCGCAAGAATAATATGCTGTGTTCTAGTGCGGAGTCGGGTACGTAACTCATACGTGTCAAGTCAACCACATTTGGTCTTGTTTCCTATGCCCTTCTCTTGACACGGGGCAGAGCTATTGGACAACTAACTTGACGCTTCACGTTTTGTTTTGCATTGCATCGTACATGTGTAATAATTTCTATAGTTGAATTGTGAATTTTGAAAGAATGCCGATAAACTGTGTTGTTGGTGGCTGTTGTCGCGATCAAAATTCCCTGGAGAGCAGTTTTTGTAAATTCCCATGTGACTTTTCACACCAGCATTTTTGGGTTAGATTTGTGGATTACACACAATCAGATTTTTACAAGAACTCAAAATTCCAAATACACATGCATGTTTATGAACACGTACCAGTACTGACACGTACATGTACACCCATACATGTACTACGTGTACGATGTAAAGTGGGACTATATTGCACTGGTACACGTGGACTATTTCCTGGTGCAAGTAACGCTGCACGGTCGTCATGCGGCGTGTCAATGCCAAGCAAGTCACTCGCAGCGCACGTTGAAAAAAATTGTTGGAATGGAACACCAACTTTGACGAAGTAGGCTGGCCTATAACCATGGACAAAAACGACTTCTTCTATACCGCCATTGAATAGCCAATGGTAGGACAATTACGTCTGTTCAGAAAAACAAATTTTTACAATGACGGTGCAGGAAAAAACTGTGACCAGTCAGTGTTTTGTTGTTGATCCTCCGAGTCGCCGCCATGCCCATGGCCAACAGCCTCGAGTCGCAAAATCTCTTCCTGAATGTATTCTGGTTCGAACTGAGAAGGCAATATTTCTTGTGCCTCATCAGCTCCTTCAATGTCGCTTTCTTCGTCAAATGAATAAAAGGAACATGACAACTGATCGCTGTCATGATCGGAAACGCTGGAATTACCGTCACTTGAGTCTGACATGATGGCATATGCTAATGCTACTACATTACGTACGTGTCGACACGTTGTTGCGTAACAGTAAATAGTCGCCCGATAAAGGACTCCGTCCTATGACGTCACGATTCTTGGGAATTTCTTCAGACAACTTTCAGTACCATTCAGTAAACATTTTTGCAAGAAATCTTCCCAGCATGGCCCATTCCCTTTAAAGACAAAACAGGTGTACATGTACTTGTGTTCTGTAACTTGATAAAGCTTACATTACTATGGGAATCAATAAAGCCTGAAAGTTGACCCATGATGGAGCGCTTCCGGAACCCTTGGACGGGGGAGCGGGTTAGCGTAGCGGTTCTTTCCTCATTTTGCACCAATGAGACCCGGGTTCGAGTCCCGGCTTGGCCCAGGCTTTAAGTGCATTTGGTTTCCAGTCCATACTCGCTCTCACAGGTTTTCTCTGGGTACTCCGGTTTCCTCTTGCCTCTAAAACTGGAACTTCTTTCTAACTCCGTAATGTGATGTTGATTAATAAAGTGTGTGAATAAACGTACAGTTATTGGAGCAAATAGCCTGAGTTGCTGAAAGCGCCATTAAAACAAAACAACCACCACCACCCTTGGATAGGAAAAATAGTGCGCAAAGATTTTAGAACTTGTAATATTTTTTTCTGTTCAGTTTCTTCTTAAAAAATCCAACTTGGAAAAAGGCTTTTGAAAAATGTTTGCTACTACGTGAACATCAATTTATAGAAACTGAAAAATTACCTGATCTAAAAGAGAAATATCCTGCCAAAAATGACCCATCATTTCCGAAAATCTAAAATACATGAAGAACAGTGCAATCAGGCAGTCTTGTACGCAGATGAATATTTTACAGTTTGAAATTTTATGGTAGTCTGTGGGTAAAAGCTAAAATAAAACAGATCAAAATATTTTACACAGTTTAATAACTTATAAGGTAATAAAAATAAAATACGATGTTCTACTTTAATGAAAGATTCTAATTTTCTATCTAACCTTTGCTGACAACAACTGCGTGATCTCAACTCAATGGAATCTGGAACCCATCAACTACAGGTAGGAAAATCTTTGCAACGTTGTACAATCTCGTTTTCAAGAAAGTATGGCGAGTGAAAACAAACGTGCACGAACAAGAAGACCTACATGTAGGTACAACATCGATGTCACAGGTCGTAAATAAAATTAGTTTTTTACCCATCTCCAGGTGACTTTTCCAAAATATTACTTGAGGAAGACAAAGATAAAATTCCGTGAGTGTTTCATGGGATGGTTTTAGTAAGGAATTATTTTTCCAAAAATTATCGACCGTGATAGGACGGCCCAATGTAATATCCCCATAGGCAGACCGCGCGAGGGTTCCGGAAGCTGGCTGCATGACCTTTTACTTTCAGGCTCTCTATGCATCCTCAGTCTTGGTTTCAAGATGTCCTCAAAGGTGTGATGTTTCAGTATACACAGCCATTAGACTGTACTGCAATTCACCGAAACAGGTGCCATGTGCACACAACCCAGGACCGCAGAGGATGTCTGCGGAATCTTGCATGGCAACAGAGTGTGACCTGCGTGCATAATTCAACAGGCAGGTCACAAAAATAACAGTGTGGCACACTGGGAGGAAAGTCATGTCTACTTAGGGTATGTTCCTGAAGCCATTACATGCAGCATGCATGCCAGCATGCGGCCTGGCCAGTGTGTAACTGACAAACCGCCTATCGACAGTTGCCTACACTCTATTTTCTTTGACATCAGAAATATATATTTTATTCGTAGTGATTTAGACTTTTTTACTTTGTTAGTTTTCCAAGGCCATGTGCCTTTCCTGGCCAAATCAATCACTCCCCAAACCTGTGGGAAATCTTTTTTTGTTGAACAATGAATGCAAGCATGACTGACTCCATCTGAGTAGGCAATTTGATGTAGTATGCTTGTACAAACCAGGTTGCCACAAATTCATACGGCAATAAGACAAGCAAATTAAGCACAATGTGATGTATTGCGAATACACAAATACTCACACAAATCTGATCAGAATTTCTTAGGAAGAAATGCAAGATTCCCAAAATTTCCTCTGCAGCCTCCACACTGAAACATTAACATAACTAAGGATATTTGGATTCAACACTAATGCAGCCTACTGTCATATACTCATAATTGCAAGAATTTCCAGGTGAGCAGTTTCAGAACACTTTGAGAAGCTTCGGATGGAAATTGCTTAAAAACCTTTTCTACTTGCATGCTTACAAAATACATATTTTTATAAAATTAAACACAAAAAAATGAAGTTTATAAAAACAAGTACATGCACATACCCGTACATGTGCCCTGAGATATGCAGAGGACAAGACTGTTGGCAAAGCATAGTATTTCAGGCTGAAAACTACAGGCTCAAGAAAGGCCTGCTGGTATTGATTTTTCAATTTTTTTGGATGCAATGACCTTTCCAGAAAACAACCTACTTCAGTGCATGATAACAAGTGGGTGCAAAATTTCCAATTTGACCATAGGGTCAGTTGGCAATACTCACTCTTCGGACATTTTCATGAATTTGTCATGCACTGGAACCAGAAACACACACTGAAGTGTCGATCATCCAACAGCGGACAAAAACATGTGTCTCTAAACAATTTTCCTTGGTTTATTCATGTACACGTACATCAATGAGAAAGCACTCAACTTATTCAATGTTTAATTTGATCAGACGGAGAATTGACAACAAACTTAGAATTTACAATGCAGTGAATGTTTAGTAAGATGTAAATAGCATACATTTCACACGAACAATGAAATGTATGTGTTGAAGTTTAAATGTTAACAAGTCTTTGCGTCAAAATTTAATAGAAATATGATCTAACTGACTTCTAAGATGTTTACAACAACTACCGGTATGTACATGTACTGCATGAAAATTTAAGGGGGGGGGAGAATTCCACATACATGTACCTCTTACAGGTAGTGCAACCTTCCCAAACATTCAAATTCCTCACCGCAGAAGGGCAAAAAAAGAGTCTTGCCAACAGCTCGTCAAATAAACACAGTGCAGTTTCAATTGTTTTTCCTACTGATTATGTCTTTCCTCATTTTGACAGAAAAATAGACTGTAAAATTTATACGGACACATTTGCTTTCAAAACTGGAATGGTCCCAGTCTCAATTTTGTGACTGATTGTGTTGATGACATTGGCCAATTTTTCTCTCCCCACTTTTCTTGCGTGGCTGACGAGACTCTCTTTTGGAGCGCTTTGAAAGTCCGGGACTTTTTGTGAAGTACAAAAATTCTGTGATGATTAAGCAAACAGGCATGACGGTGCAGTCTGTGAGGTCTTGGACCTGACACTTTACCACCTCAATAGGTATAATTTCCTTTTTACGTTTGCCTGCAGGGCAAATACATTGTGCCGAACTATTTTTGAGGACACCGGAAAATCCCTTTGAGTCAATGACACATTTCCTCTAAAATGTAATGGGGAGGGCATATGGGGATATACAAAACTTGCATGTGTAAACTTTTAGGAGTTGTTGCATAATCATGGCCTACCCACACACACAGCACTGGGCCTGATGTGCACACTACAGTGTACATGTATGGGAAAGTGCAATCTTGATGACAACATCAGCAGTTATTTTGAATCATGTTTAAACGTACTGATTCTTTTAATAAACCTAACTGTAATTGCAACTGGTACTTCCAGAGATTATGCAGAAAAGTAATAAATTAAGGTGGTATTTTTACATGTACTTCAACCATTCTTTGCCTATTTGTACATGTGCATGTACGTGCATGAACAACCTTTCGGATTCAGTAAATAATATAAGGCCAAAAAAGGGTCTCTGGTTTCTGGTTTTATTTGCATAAAACAATTTTAAAAAGCCGCCAACCTTACTTGATCGGCAGGAATTCTGCTACTGTGTAATTTTAACATGTTATTAATGGGGTAAAGTAATATGTACGGTAAAGGAATACCCCTAGGCCTCCATACATTTCAGTCGGGCACTCTGATCAGATGATGTCATTTGTGTATCATTACACGAAGGCCGTGTCCAAATTAGTTTGGCTGCGGCTTGATATCATGCATGATTCTATGGGAAGTAGCCGTGGATGCTGCCAAATACTCGGTATAATTTCCAGCCGTAGCCAAAGTGGTCTTGCGTCCTGCATAAGTTTACAAATTGAAAATGCTTTTGAGCAACAAACTGCGAGGGGCCAGTCTATTTCAGTGTCGGCGAGGCAGTGGCGGTACATACGCATGCCTTGGCAGTGGACATCACGTTATGACAACCATACATGTAACAACTCAAGCATCGTCACTTGCCAAGAGCAAAAGTAGATTAGAGTGACAGATTTTATTTTCTGAGCTGAATTTTTCCCCCAATATGTTAAATGCAGCTTGTTTCTTATAAGCTAAAACAGAAAACAATGTGCACGGTATATTATTTGCCTCACGAGAATTTTATTTTCATTTTGACTGTGTAACTGAACTGTTTTCATTTTTTTCATAGGCTATTTGATGTGCAACTTGTTTCTGCTCAGCTAAAGCAGAAAACAACGTGCACAGAATGTCATATACTGCTACCTCATGAGAATTTTAATTAAAGCTGCCAGTTAGTCGCCCACCTTGTAAGTCATATTTCAATGTGTCTCTGTGACCACACGGTTCTTTCTCCATCTTACTATGTACATGTACATAGCATGAGCCCACGTTAACTGCAACGTAGCTTACATGAAGGTACATATACATGTATGCACGTACAGGTACTACAGTAGGTACCCAAGTTGACTGGTTTGTGGTCACTTGCTGTATAGAGTGTGTATGGGGAGCTGAGACGTTGTGCGTATTCACAATGCACTAGCAGTCTATGCCCATGACGATTCCAGTGCAACAAACTTGTTTCAGTCCCAAATGTGTTTGAAGTTTGAAACCAAAGCTTCCCTTGGTCTGGTCCGGTCCCAGGTATGAAATACTCAAATGTACATGTAAGAGAACAAACATGTCTTGCCTTTTCTTTCAGCTTTTATTTCATATACACATGTAATTGGGTGCCATTTATTCCACAAGCACAAAATCCAGCGCCTGTCTGTCATGCGGACAATTGACGGAATAATGTTTCTGTGTGTTTTGTCACATTTTGTACGTATACATCTAACTTCTATATTTTGCAAATATGTGTACGTACAAGTACGTGCAAAAATCTACCTGGCGGCGGTGCCAAACTTTTTCTTCTAGGAGCCAGTGGCTCCTCATTTCAATATTCTCCTCACAACACTGGGTTAGAGACATGCCCCCCATAGCCCGGTACCTCAGGCCCGTAACTGATACAAGAATGGCTGCATTACAATATGCCAGTAAGTACAATGTATGATATACATGTGCATGTATTGAACCTACATGTACATGTATGTACATATAAGATGCTGCACATAAGCTGTGTGCCAAACATGTAGTATAAAAATTCCTAAATATATCCACATGTACGATGGGGAATATCATTCTAATGTTTAGAACTAGCAACTACATTTACATGTAGTGGTGACTTACATGTACATGTCCATGTACATGTCCATACTTGTGTGCATGATCTATTTATCGTCCAGCAAACTTGAATACTCAATTCGTTTGGTCGATCCATGGCAACAAACAATGTGACTTATTGCACAGTCTATGTCATAATGTGCTATTCTAACTCAACGCAATGCGTTACTTTTATGCTAAAAGCAAAATGCACAACTGCAAAATGTACTGTAAATCCAAAGGTGGCACATACATGTAGGCCCCATAACATCTTTACTGCGCGTCTTGTTTGCTTGAAGATAAATTCAAACAAAACACAGAATACTGTAGAGCGTCTGTGTAGATTACTCATGTCATAATGTACTATGGTTGCCTACTAGTCAACTAGTGAACAGGTTCTTTTCTGATTGAACATTTGTCACGTTGAGGCCGCCACAATCACTCCCCTCGCAATCTCATTTTCACACGCGAATACAGAAAACAACCCCAATAACTGTTTCCAGCACATGTACCTGTAATATAGCCAATGAGTTTTTCTCTTACCATGCTACGTACAGGTGTACAGTTGTGTACTATCATCAAGATGCGATTTGAGTCACTAAAACCTATCATACAACCAGCACCGTTTACAGAAAGAGATAACCATTAGTAGAAGTTCAGTGTCCTAGATGCATCTATAGACCCATACAAATATTCCTATCCATGATCCATTTGAATGTGGAACCAGCTCCCAGCAACTGCTGCACTGTCACCTTCCACAACTAGTTTCCAGGAAGTCATCTTACCAGTCATCAGAGGGATGAGGGCACCTGTGGCCTCACGAATCCTCTGGATCATCACAAGAAGCTTTATCTGTTTAACCGCACCCTAAGTTCTTTGTTGTCATTATCTTTGTGTTCAGCACTCTCTGTTGGGCACCTACATGTATTCTTCACTCTTATTTCCAATGCACCCTGCCTGTGACGTCACTTCTGCACCATCACAGTATACATGTAGCTACAATTGGCTGGATAATACATCGACTTAAGACATGACCGAGTTCTGCTGTGAGTCTTGCGTGGTGTAGGCAAGGAAAAATTGGTAAATTTCTCCATTACTGGTAGGCCCATAAGGTAAACAACTCCCCCTCCCCCCACTGGCATCAAACCATACATGTATCTATCATGTAAGGACATGAAGGACTTGTGAGATCTTATGGCGTAATATTTAATCTGTAACAGCAGACAAGTTCCTTACGACTGAAATGGCAAACTCTTTCTTATGCACTCTGTATATGGCTATCTGTAAGGTTTGTAAAAACCTGACACCGACTCTAGCTACATGTAGCTGTGGAAGTAGACCAAGATAATGACAACCTTAACACTATTACAAACCTGCTCTGCTTGTTTACGGAGCTGTTTTTCCCTCTCATACTGCGTGATCAGCTGCTCATTGTCATCCTTCAGCAACTCCAGTTCCACCTCGTAATCCTTATTCTCGGCCACAGTACCGTCAAGATTCTCCAGGACATTGACGACCAGCGGCATGAGCTCCTTGACCACGTCTTCGTCGTAGCCTTTGATCATCCGCTCGAACTCCCGGTAGATGCTCGACGCGAGGGACTGCACCCGCTCCGACATCACGCTGACACCGCCGTCGTCGGCGGTGCCGTACACGGTCTCGTCTTCCATCATGGTTCGGGGATTTCGGACCCGCTAAACGCGTAGCAGATCGGAGACAGTTGCCGTAAGGCTTCCAACGTGAGATCTTGCACTAGATCGCGTTGCAAGGTGAGTTTTCGGAGAAATTCGAGCAAAAATCTGGTGTCAAATTCGCTAAATTGTAACACACCTTCTCTTCAACAGTCAACACGGGGCCATGTCATACCTTCGCTGGTGCCCGACAAACGGCCACACGTCCGTATATGTATAAACGCTATGAATGTATACGTGACCATCGAAATCATGTGATGAGTCGATTCTGCGAATGGATGACAGCAGAGCAAAGAGGGACTTGCGGAAGGGGGAGGAGCATACAGGGAGGGGAGGTGTGCCATAAAGAGTCTTTCACAAGATACGAGCATCTCGAGAGGAAGTTCACACCGAATGAGACACAAATGTTTCCTGACTCTATTTGATCTTGGTTGAACTAATATAAAGAGAAGCCGCCCTCATCAGAAGTAACAAAAGGCGGTTAATACGAGGGGTACGGGCGGGAATTCCCGCAATTTAATGGGTTTTTTTTGGGGGGGGGGGTCTGGAGGGAGTCATATCTCCACAACTCTACACCCTGGCACACTTAGATTTTTCGCTTCTAGTGCCCTGCCGGAACAACACCTTTACTGCAAATTTCATTATAGGCCCGATGTGAAATTTTTTTTGTGCAACAAAGTTCAAAGGAGATTTTATTTTGCTCCATTTTCCGATTTTTTCCCGAAACGCAAAACAAACTCTTTTAAAATGCACCCGAAAATACAAAACTAATTTTCTAACAAACTTGTGGTTAGGTATGTAAGTAGAGGTAATTATGATATATCAGAATTTATCGACTTTGTTTCGGTGGAATGGTCTGAGATTTTTTCAAATGCGCCATGTTAGGGAATACTCTGCTGAATTCTTGCCAGTTTCCGAACGCCGGCTTTTTGAATTTCGGGCGAAATTTCATGACACTGAAATTTCTTACCAAGGTTCAACAGCATGTATCAGTATTTATTCAACTAAATTTGGAGTTTGTTTCAACGAGAGGTGAGGCAACACTGTATGAGGAAAGTCAAGTGAATGTCGATGTGCGCCATGTTGGGGGACTCTGCTTAAATATTGCCCGAAACTAAGCCTTCTAGAATACCTTGGAGGCATCGCCGTAGTATTGGGTTAATGACATGGTTGTATGGTGGCCCTGAAGAGACATAAAATTCACGACTAGTAGTGAATAAATTCACTAGTCGTGAATTTTATGTCCCTTCAGGGCAACCATACCAAACTGTTTATAGTGTGACCAGTCGGGTTTCACCTGACAGGTCCCGGCAAAGAACGGTTTTCCTCTAGCTTTTCAACGTAACACCCCGCCTGCTTGATTTCCCAGTGCCATGTCTTCCTTTCTAGCGCCCTCTTGTGGCCAGCGTGACTTTTGTTGACTCTTTTGGGACCCTGGCAGATTGCTACTGTCAGTTGATTTTCAAACCCCCCTTGCTTGCAGCAACACGTACATTTTGAGATCTCTACCGATTCTGACTTCATAATAAATATTTGCATTTTCTTTCGGCAACCGGTACTATGAATTATCCCACTGCTGCCGTGAGGGGTTCGAGCCGATATATTGTTTGGCAGGAACGCAGACGATCCTTGGGTAAGCAGGTATATTTTGATTTAATTCCTTTTGATTTAATGAACATTTTTGTTAGCTTCATTCACTCGTTCATTACAGATTCATTTATAGATTTGTTAACTCGTTAATTTATTTGTTCATTTATCAGTTTGTTTAAACAACTTATTACCTTAACCATTTTGTCATTTTTGACCCACTCCTCTTTCAAACCAAATTTGGAACTGCAAGTTTTACTTACTCTTGTATATAGTTCAGACTGTTATAAATAAGTTACTTTTCATTTTGAACATCCTCTTGGGTATATACTGTAAATAAACACTTATGAACATAATTTAGTTCCTCATCCGATTCTTAGTTAAAGTGGCAACCGTTCGGTTGTCCGGCGAGTGGGGTTGATTAGTTAACATTTGGCATGTGCCCCTTTTCCCCTTGCCCCGGTTACAAGAGAAAGAAAAAGACGGAAGATACTTCTTTCTTTGATACTGTTTAACCACAGTGAACCACTTTTGCCAGGTTTGTTGGAAGTTGATGGGGCTGTATTTTATTGATACAGGTCCGGGCCAATTTCAAAGAGCTCTTAAGTGCAAAAGTTGCTTTAGCGTGAAAAAACCTTGCTTCAAAAAACAAACGTTACCGGCTCAAACTCTGATTGTCATGCTAACCAAAAGACAGCTGAATACGATCCCAAACAATACACATCACATGGAGTTTTAGCTGGTTATCTGATTTATCAAGCAAGGTTTTCTCGCGTTTGAGCAAATGTTGTGCTTAAAGCAGCTCTATGAAATTGGCCACCTAGAGGCTTGGATATACACGGGCTCGCGCCTAAACAAAGTACATTAATTGGTTGATGTCATAGAAAAGAGCGCTCTCTTTTGAACTATTTGTTAGGACACTTTCACACTGCGGTGTGCAAGAGATGAACTGAAAGTATGATGGTGGAAAATAAATGTTATGTACATGTACATGTATTACGAACACGCGTTTATTCTGAAGAATTCTCCATTCGAATTTATTTTGATCGACAACACCTTGTATGTTTGAAGCCAGAACACAAATTGTGTAAACACTTTTATTTATTTTGTTGTGAGCTTGCCACATGACAAACACTGTCATGGCAGTTTTACAACTCATGTACACGGAAACAATGTCTCATACTATATACAACGAATTTTCAGATAATGAAAAAAATAAACATTTTAGAGAAAAGAGCTTTTAAACATGGGCAATTCAAACAACAACGGAAATGAAAACCCCTTGCAGAATCAAATATATGTATACTTTGAGCAAATTGATGTAGAACGCCCCCGTTCAGAGGACTTCACCGTTTTACAAATTGGAAAAAATTTGGGGTATTCACAAGTTTTTATATATA